GATAACTTAACTAACTTATTACACAATGACGAATTCTATTTTCCATTATTATCTTTGACCTAATGATCTTAACTAACTTATCTGATTTCCGATCACTTCTAAATGCTTACTTTTATAATTACCACATAATTTCCTGTTTTTATATTGCTCAATAAGTAGCATTTTGTCGTAAGCTATGCACCAAAACTTATCAACATTCTTCAAAACTTATTGTATTGTTTATGCCATCACAAATTACTTCCTTTGCAGTTTTTTAAAACTAAGATCTTCATTTTAAAAACACCTGCTCAGTAATTTATAAAAATGTATATTTTAAAGCTATCTGCAGCTAAAGAGAAGCCTTAAAATAAAATGTGCACGTTTTATACACTGAAAATTCTGTCCTTCTTGCTTTCACGAAGATGATCAACGCAACACATTAAATAAGTTCAATCACATTAAGTTGTTTTCATCATTGACCTAGGATAATTTTGTGCGGGAAACATAAATGCAGTCATCTTATACGTATAAGCGTGGTTTTGGAGTGGGTTTATTGCATATCCCTGCTAACTGTAGAGTTGTAGTCCTTTGCTATGGTGATTTAATGGCAAGTTATATTTTCTCTATGCTTTTTAAATGAAATTCTGCATTAAATTTTTTTTTTAATGACGTACAAACTATCGGTGGCATTATACTCTTGAACTGGGTTACCTTTGCTTCATTTTTTTCAGAAAACGTCGCTTGACAATGATATCTGAGCAGTGTAATGCAGTAAATTGAAAAGTTAAACACATATAATTTTGGATTTACATGATTTGATGCTTGTAAATTTGGCCTACTTATTGAAACAATTGACAATACCCAAAGGATATAGGTGGCACCATTTAAAAAAAAGGGATGTGCCATGTAATCGCTCTACATTTATGCTAATAATAGTTCATTTGAAGTTTTCTTTCTATTTCCCTACTGTCACATATGCCATATAGAGTTCGGCGAGTTGAATTGGTGCAATTCTGTAGTTCTACAGTGAAATTCAGTCAACCGAAGGAGACAGAATTTAACATGCAGTAAAAAATGTGCGCATATCAAAGGAATAGAAATGAATTTTAAGTCATTTACACATCTAATCTGTGAAAAGAATATGAAATATATGAGCCGTTTCACTTATGCTATAAATGTCTCGTTTAGAGGGAAAAAAGTTTCTGCTGTTAAAAACGACTAGAAATCTAAAATCGGTACTTAATCTACTAAAGATAAATTAAGCAATCACTCACTTTTAATAGATTTTCATTCTTTTACGTTCCCAGTGGAACATAAGCCTTCAAGCTTCGAGGTTTCATCATAGGTAGTGTTGTTTTTATGAGGTGGAGCTACTAGCATCTTTTCTGGAATTGCTATCGGTTAGTAAGCTAGATGAAGTTTAGGGGAGCGTTGGTGGGGAATTGAATTCGGACCACTTGAGTGGTTGGCAATAATTCTACTATTGAACCACCGATGCATGCTTGCAGTATATGGGTGACTTTATGATAACAATCGCTCTACTTGAAAAATCTTATTTTAACTTCAATATACTAAATTATTAACTGTCTGAGCATACAATTCAATGAATATCATTGTTTCGTAGAAATAAAACCGTCTGTATAGTTAGAAAGACGTAGTGAATAGAAATTTTCGTAATAAAATTGAAGCTACTCATGAGTAGTTTGACGATTGTACGTACAAACGAGCAAAACGAAAGCTGTATAGACACACTGGAGTTTTTTCTCCGTAACAGCAATTCTGTGATCATAAGAACATGAATTTTTATCTTTGTTTCAGCTTAAAATTTACTCCTAAACTAAACAAATACACGAGTATATTTATCACCAGACGATGTGGGCGGTCTGCTTATAACTTAAGCTTCCAAGAACCACCATCACTATGTTGTATATAATTCCTCTCGTTGACTTCGTTATAGTCACCTAAAATATTACCTGTAATGCTACTTATTTACTATTGCGGGTATTTAAAATGTTTACAGCCTGATGATTCACAAGTTTCTACCAATCTTGAAAAGAAACAAAATCCCAGGTGGCAATATATCCTAATACATGAGAGATAACTATTCCTGAGTTGTGTCCTTGGTTCTCAAAATGTATTCTTGAACTTTTTATAATTGGCATTCAACCAAATATCGTGCATTCCTCGGAAGAGACAAAGAAGAGATATCATGACGGATTAATTTGCGCTTCAGGTCAGACAGCAGATCCTGTGACACACTGCTGTCAGTTAACGTTTTATTTGAAGGTCCTGTACGAAGTAGACATATCATGCAATAAACTCCGCTGAAAATTCTGTACATTATATAATCATCGTCCAGAAAAAAGCTACTACTATTACCTACTAATACGAAGTTGAAGCCTTTTATGAAAAAAGATTTCGCAACTAGTTGTCTGCCATTGAATTACGTATCTACAGTATTAGGTTTCATCGTCAACCGATATCACTTACAAAACCATTGAAACCGATGGAGGACCAGACAGAAGTTTAGCCCTAGTCAAAGACTCTTCAGTTACGCTTATCAACGACTACACCAGGGATCAAATCTAAGTGCTTCAGGTTAAGAGGTGAACCTGTTGATCATCTTGCCACTGAGTTGGAATTGAACGGACTATGAGTATAAGCTTCTTCCAGTTTGTAATGGAACATTATCGCTAACCAATGTTATCAGGGAGCATCCGCTTCATGCCGGACCCCAGAGGTTACTCCTTCAGGACATACGTCGTGTTACCACCGATGTGCACTAGATTAATATTTAGACTTTGAGTTTTCAATGATTCCCCAAATGATGTTGGCTCATGACGAAATCTACACTTTATTGAAACTGATCAAAACCTCTACAAGACCAAAAATCTGAAATATGTAACTCTGTTCTGTTGAAAATATGTAATTCTAAAATGCAGATTTTTGTTTATATACTAAGATCATCGGACAAATAATACCTACTGCAACCCTATGACCGAAAAAGTGTTCCATTATGAAACTAACCGATAGACTATTTCAAATTATTGTGTTCTAACTTTTCAACAATTAGTGGATTGACCGAGCGCTCTAAGGTGCTGGTTTTACACACTAGTCTGATAATCAATGTTAGTTAAGGTGAGTTCGCAAACTTCTGAATTTACTAACTTCAACTGTCATTGCTACACAGCATACATCTCTTATGACACAGTGTTACTGTTTTGTGGTTGTCGTCCAACTTGACTAGAATGAATCTCCAGACACAACACTATAAATCAACCGATCACTTGAAAATATTCAACACACTGAAATAGACAAAACAAAGTCAGATCTAACTGCAACAACAAAGCTCTATTAAGGCAAAATACTTGGTATATATAGTTTACAAAACCTCAGGAATTGAAGCTATGAACAAAATAAACCAATCTGACTGGTTGCATGAAATCGCAAATCCTCAGAAACTGAAGAAAAAAAATAAATCATACAATAACTGTTCATCACAATCCTGTTGTTCAACATTCTCGATATTGTCTAATATGATTCTGACAGAATATTTAGGCCGCGGGTTTCAGTCTCACTCCACTTATCTCTGCATGGGCAACTAGGTAGCATTTATTGCCCCTCATACCATAAGTGTGGCTATTAGCCTGGAATATGAGAAACCTTTCCCGAATAACTGAGCGTAAACAATAAACACTCAAGAATTAGTACAAAAGGTAATTATCACAAATGTCTACTGATGTTTTCACATCTTCAAGGGAGCATCAGTGTATTGATGATAAGGTTTAAATCCAGCATTTACTGCCTAATACACCTACTGACAAATGGGAATTTCATCCCATGGCTGAATTGGAGTCACCAGTGTTAAATTATTTATACTTCAAGTTACTTTAGGTGTCATATAGCCACTTTCCACAAGGCAAAACCATCTAGTCTCACTCTTCCTCATCATCGGCGAAGTTTGTTTGTTCCGTTTATTTAAATAGAAGAGAATTAGCTCCTTGACATGACAGTACGATTGGGGAAGTGTTTTTTTCTTATTTTTGTACAATTGTTTATTGTAATGACTCACGATGGTCAGAATACTCGTTTTTCGGAATCCTTCCAATCATATTTAACGGGGCAAAAAATTGCTGAGACCAGCCCAAGCATGGTCAAAATCAGTTTGATGCCATGTAAGCCAAGCAATAGCCTGTCCTTCCGCATAACCGAAATCGTTAACGGTTGTGTTCAGGACGAATAACGGCTTACATGGCATCAAACTGATTTTGACCATGCTTGGGCTGGTCTCAGCAATTTTTTGCCCCGTTAAATATGATTGGAAGGATTCCGAAAAACGAGTACTCTGACCATTGTGAGTCATTAGAATAAACAATTGTACAAAAATAAGAAAAAAACACTTCCCCAATCGTACTGTCATGTCAAGGAGCTAATTCTCTTCTATTTAAATAAACGGAACAAACTAACTTCGCCGATGATGAGGAAGAGTGAGACTAGATGGTTTTGCCTTGTGGAAAGTGGCTATATGACACCTAGAATGTTGCCGCCACCTAACCATTAGTCTTATGAAATCACTTGGTACCAATCAAAAATACGACATCGATTTTGATATGAACGATATCCAGTTGAGGCTGAAATGAAGCGATATCTCGACTTGGTGGTACACGGATTAGTTCAAGAGTCTGATGAATCAATCCAATCATGATACAGAACCCTATTAATCTAATGCATTCCATAGGTCTGACGGAAAGTAACTTGAAGTATAAATAATTTAACACTGGTGACTCCAATTCAGCCATGGGATGAAATTCCCATTTGTCAGTAGGTGTATTAGGCAGTAAATGCTGGATTTAAACCTTATCATCAATACACTGATGCTCCCTTGAAGATGTGAAAACATCAGTAGACATTTGTGATAATTACCTTTTGTACTAATTCTTGAGTGTTTATTGTTTACGCTCAGTTATTCGGGAAAGGTTTCTCATATTCCAGGCTAATAGCCACACTTATGGTATGAGGGGCAATAAATGCTACCTAGATGCCAATGTAGAAACAGACAGAGTGGGACTCGATGCCACGGCCCATCGAATAAAAACAGAGAGTTTGAACCAAAGAGCTACATCTCCACTTTGTACTAATTCGTTATGAGGTTTTTAGGTAGTAGTTTATTGAGGATCGCATAAATAGGGACCTATGTACAAAGAGATTAATTGTGGTCAACGAAATATTAATGTCAAAAGATGAGGCAAGGTAATTTAAAAAAAAAAGGAGAGTAGGAAATTACAAAATGCTTGAAGAAAAAATATTTTTTCTCTGTACAATTACACCAAAGTAGGATGATGCAGTGTGTTATGAATGTTTCAATGAAGTGTGCATACAACAAGAACAAGAATAATCAGATTTACAATGAGATAATAATTCATTAGACGGGGAATAATTTGAGTATTTACGACAACATGTAGAACATCCAGTTGAACAACCACTTGTAGAAGACATACAGCATTTATTGACAGGAGTTTTAATAAGCTTTGATGAAATATATCCACTTGGAGTGAGATCAACATTTGGATATCTAATAAAAATAAAGTAGAGAGATAAAGTGAGACGATTGCATTCCACATATAAACTAGTAAAAATATTGAAATGTCTGATCTAACAAAGTAGCTGATAACTACATCGCAAAGGGAGTTCTGACTTTATGCAACTAGTTGTGGCAAAAAACAAACAGACAACGTTACTTACTATTCCCTGAATATTTTGTTGAGAAAAGAAATATGTACGAGGATTAAACAAACACATATCATATTCAGTATTATTAGCTGTCTTCACTTTTATTTCACTTTAGATCATTAACAATCCACGGTGACGACTACTGAGATCTCAAAGACTGCACAAGGAGGGTGGGATATTCGTGCACTGTTAAACTATGAACAGGTCTAGTGTGGAGATCTGCGGCAGTCACTAGAAGTACGAAAAAATCCGATTCTTTAACAATGAGTTAGTGCTCTTATATAGTTACCGAAATCATTTATAACAGGCAGCCGTAAACTTTTATCAACAGCTGTCTTCGCGCTATATTGAAGATCAGATGGTCGGCCAGAAAGGTTAAGTAACAAGGAACTCTGGTAAACAAAACCGACTGAGAAAGTATAGATAGCCCAACAAATATGCAGACGAAAATTGAGATGGATTGGACTTATGCTCTGGAGATGTATTCAAGTGAGACCACACACCAGGCATGCCTTAAGGTGGAATTCAAATCAGAAGCGATCTGATGGGCGTGGGGTAAGGATGACATAGAGGGAATTAGAGCTTGTGGGTGATTGTACAGCCATCCAAAATGTACAGCAGAAAACCGGATGAAAATGGAGATGAGCTGTTGAAATCCTATGCTATATTCAGAATTCAAGGAACAAGTAATGATAAAATGAAGCCAGTCAGCTGATACATTAGTTTGAATCGCCTGTGGACACCTTTTTATCATAACCAAACGAACCTACAAGCTTCCTCCATTGGCCATGGTCAGTATACCTACTCAAAAAACACACGAGCACTGAAGCAACCGTAAAATACCTCTGGAAACGAAGTCTCGACCACTAATCCACATTCTACTAGCTCACAATCAACAGCATATATGACTGACTTATTCACACGGCGTCACGAAAAGCCATATTGGGCATAACACATGACTTCGGAGACCCCACTACTTTGAGCACGCTAGTCGAGCCTCTGCTTCTTACCCCTTAACTATCATCTGTTGTAGATCTTTTGCGAGATCTAGAGTACGCACTCCAAATGATTTAATTACAGGAAGATATGTGTCGGTGGCATAGCGGTTAGGACACTCACCGACCATGCACATGGTCCGGGGTTCAATTCCCGGCCGACACACTCCTTTACCTCACTGAGCAAATATTAAATAAAAAACTGGTGAAGAGGAAAGGCTGGGCATGAGGCTGGCAACCCCATCCTGCAAAAATAAACACTGCTACAGAAACTTCAAGCCTCTAGCTTGAAACCCTATGTTCCACTGGGAACGCGAAGGAATAAAAAACAGGAAGATATCAACTAGATGTTGAGTTTTTTGAACACTAAAGAATAGTCTTAGAGTCTTAGTTATTCATAATTAACACAAAACCTTGTGTAACTGTGTAATGGTTAAATTTATTAAACCTGGTATTGGCACAGAGTAGAATAGAATGACTCGGAATATACGTAAAGGAGATAAGAAAAATAACTGGACGCAATAGTCATTACAATGAAAATGAAATGTGAATAAATTTGCGTCACTGCGATCTATTCGCTGTCCTATGACTGACTGACTGCTTTCAATATGGAACTTTGCACAGATGTGCTGTTAAACATTTCTAGCAATTGGCTTGAAAATATCCAAAACAGACTACCATCATTTATAACATGTGTAAAATGTAATATTTCTCATGATATTTATAGCGTAAAAAGTAAAGATGACAGGTTAAAACTAACAAGACGAGTAAAAATACGTATTTCAAATATTTTTTTCCACCTTAACCAATTATGTCGCAATTCAGATATATCTTGGGGAGAACATGTACATCAAACAATTACTTTACTTGACCGTCAACTGCTGGAAATATTACACGATCTGTAACACCTTTTTAGAACTCATGATCCAATGGATTCCGTCCCGGTGGCCGAATGGTTAACGGGCTCATTTCGCAGTCTGAGGGCCATGGGTTCGATACCCCGTGGTGTCATGAGTGCGTACTGATGAAGAAACCCAAACCAGGACGAAACAGCTATCCAGTACTCCCTAATGACTTTTAATGGTTCTCGAAATGAAGTTAGTTCGTGATCTAACGCGAGATCAATCAAATCCCTGCAAAATAACACTAGAAAAAAAGCAATTTGTGCTGATAAAAAAACTTACCTAGGAGTGGAACAATATGTTTCTTGATAATGTTTACAACTGCAACTGAACAGTGAATTTGAATGAGATGAAGACACTGTAGTATAATAATTGTCACTACCGACTACTTCACAACAGTGTGATTTCAGTAAACAACAGGACTGATGTAAAGATGGAGAAATGTTGGTTGATGAATGCTTTGCAACACCAGACTTTCTCTGTGAGGCATACTTTAGCTTTGATTTATTATTAGTTTTTGGAAGATCAGACAGGTGAGACGTTAATGGCTGAGGTAGAGTTTGTGTAGCTTTACATACGGTTGATTGAAAGGGCTTTTCTTCATTTTTCGATTTAGTATGGCTCATATGTGATTCAGGTACTTTATTTATACCTGGCGATTTGTCGGGTTCATTGAACTTAAAAGGACAAAGGAGAGAAATAAAAGTTAAGCTCTTGTGATTAGTACATAACATTGAACAGGCATTATTGAGCAGTAATGTACGGCATTTAACTGTATATTATTAAACATGGTTAAATTTATATATATATATATATATATATATATATATATATAAAGCCGTTTCTGATAACTTGATAGTTTATATTGCTGATTGATCTGGATAGTTGAAAACGACTTACATCAACCAATACTGCTTGCCAGATGGACCTAAGTGATATAAACACCGGATGCCCATTTTCTTCTTTTGCGGCCGAGATTATCGGCGTATTAGGTTTCACTTAGTTCAAACCACCCCAATACTAGCTAGCCATTTGCGCGAACCACTAATACACGGGACCGAATTGGTCACTTGCAACTTGAATGGTTCAAAGGGACTAATTACCAGTTTCCTTAAGAAAGCAAAAATATTCAGATAACAACCTATGATCTGCCTGAAAGTAGATAGTGTCAATCATATGAATCAGTAGCGGATACCATGACACAATTCCACTTGGATTCTTTGATTGCCTATTTATGGTACCAAGCAGATCATTTACTATGATTTGAATATTTCCCGGTTTCCGAAGGAAACTGTGGTGAATGCTCACCTCGAACTGTATTTAACTTGAGGATGATGAATTTGAATGTTTCTCAAACCACTTTTTCTACCCACATGCCCCTGCCCCCATAGACAATTTACTGCTGCCAAGGGTGGACAGATTTCGGTCTTTCGAAATACTTTCATGCGACCACGCATTCATAGCCTATGCCAGGTAAGTCCTAGTCACTGCATTCACGCGACAGAGGTATCCCTCATAAAAGTCAAAGGGTGAATGGGGACGTCTGGCGCTTACGACCGGACTACTATTGGAAATGCAGGTCTACATTGGGAAGTAGGAAAACCCGGATTACAAACTTATGGTGTACATAGGCTCCAGAATAAGATTGGATCGAGTGGTATGGTATCTTTTGATCGCCGGTATCCGTGGGGACGTAGCTCCTGACGATACCCCACAGCCTTGTGGATAGGAACTCAATTCAGATACCAAACGGGTGGCCCCTTGAGAAAACCACCTGCTTCAGTTTTGGCACCCAACCAGTATCGCAGCCTTTGCACGAACTGTGAGGTTTTTTGTGGCACATCTCTTAGCACCCATAATGTACTAAGTTTGTTTTTTAATAATTATGCTTTACTGTAATGATAATGAAACAGTAAAATAAAAATCAATATTGAAAACGTAATCATTTCTTTACTATGTACCAAGTTTAAGTTGATTGTAAGGTACCAATCAGGTCCATACTCTTCCGCAAACATCAAAATAAACAAATGTTTCATTTAATTCATACTTGAGGTAAGGTCAAAATTAAAATGTATCACATGAATATTATTGATGGTTATTAAGAGACAGGGCATGAAAACTTACAGTATGATCATAAGCTTTACGTTCAAGTCGGACAGCTTGAATTAACTCAGTAAGCATGTTATCTATGCCAAGGAGAAGTTCTCTTCGAGTATCGTTAGGCATTGCTGTGGGTTTCCTCAGAGATATATTTACAAGTGATCTATGAGGAGAAATTAAACATATTTTGTCAATTAGAAGTTAATCTTTTATTAAGAAAGCGAAAATATTACAAAACCGTTTACATCGTACGTATAGTATGCAGTAATGTAGACCAGAAAGTACACTGCGGTGTAAGCGGTGATACATCAATACACTGAATATGTAAATTAATAATTTACCGCGAATGATGGCAAAAACAATCCTTTCTCATGTTGTGGCAATCAAAACAAAGCATTATATTTGTTAAGGTACACAAATGAAAATATTTTATTGCATACTGTGTATACAAACTTAATGCAACTATCTCTCAGGTGTATTAATGAGGGGGATTTACAACTCAGTTAATGCTAAGTTATGAGATATATCAATGTTACCTACCAAAGAATGTCTGCTGTGTAGCAGTTTGCCCTATCTTACTTTACAGCTGCGAAACAGGCGTTGGAGATAGGTGATGAGGAAACCATAGACTTTTTGACCACATGAGCCTTCATTTATTCTGTTATTACGTGGATCAATACAGTCTACAATAATGAAGTCAGAGTAGAGTTCTGGGCAAGGAGGGAAAGTCAGTGGATGAATTCGGGAACCACCCACCTAGATAACTAGGTGTATTTCACATACTGACTCACCATGTTCCTCATAATCAAAAAGAGGCTAAATAAAAGAGCTGGGAGATATAAGGAGAATTCCTACTTACTCGTTATTCAAAAAAGAGGTGACTGCTAGCCTTTAGATTTCTATGACGAGTATTCACTTTCGATTAGTGTACTCTTTTAATTTACTTTCCATTTTCAATGCATTCTGGTTAACAATGTGTTTCTGCTCACTCAGATGTTTGCTAATTAATTATCACTTAATTTGTGACTTGCTTGCCTTTAGTTTTTTTGCATTTCTGTGGTGAACTTATCAACTTTCATCCCAATTTTTAATTTTCAATGAGAATGAATCCAATTTAATTTAATTAAACAACTAAAATAACACTATTTTTGTTCAGTTTATTTTGGCTAGTCACAATGAAAAACAATTTTTTTTACTTACAATCTTACACTCATACTTGCACGCAATCTGACAGTTAACGAAAAAAGTAACTCTTGCTGAACACCTTTTATATGACTTAATGGGGATTTTTAAGCTAGTATTCTTATATGATAAGAAGTTATACACTAGTGTTTACCAATGGCTTTCCTACAAAGTAACTATAGTTTAGCATCAACAAGATATGCACCAATGGCACTTTAAGTGGTTCGTGTATCTACCTGACACGCTAAACCCACGCTTAATATTGTTCAACCTAAACTAAATAAAAGGAACCTTCTTATGACACCTACGATTTTTAAAAAATTTCTTGCCAGTCAGTACAGTTGGATTTATACTAGCAATCAGATATCCCATCAATAGCTGATAAACAATGTACATGCATTGCCTTGTTTTATTAGGAACCAACTACTGGTGTAAAATCTCGTATGAGTAAAGTGATCAATCCATCTATTCAGCGTTGTTTGCTTTAAGCTAGGAATCAGTGCTAATCAGCCATGCAGTGGCAGTACAAAAATGACGTATACGAAACATGTGGCATCCACCCTTATATTTCCGCGCATTTAGAATACTTGTATGACAAGTATGAGTAAATACAGTTTGTAAGCCGAAAAATCTTGTAGCAAGACAAAACAGAGAGCTGTTGTATGTAACCTTTTAACACGTACAAATGCTAATGGTTCGAGATCTCAGGATTTTGGTTATCTAGAATTAATGTCTGGCTTTATATTCTAATTGGTGGCATTCACTGATAAAAATCACAATATCATAAATCGTAATTCAACATACACTGGATAAACCAACATACATCTCGAACTATGTATGTCCCAGCTAGCATTTCCTTCGGGTGCATTGCAGAACGTGGGACAGTAATCTGCAGTCTTCCCCAAGGTCTCTACAGTGCGCCGGAAGTTTGCCCCAAGTTCTATGTACGTATACAGGTAAGCAAATATATGCCCATAAATGACTGGTTTCAACACAGAACTTTGCACCGATTGCAGCAGTTTGAGTTGCCACAATCCATGTAGCAAACAATGCAACCGAAGAAAGTAAAAAATGCAAAGTAGTGACTAATATGCAAGCCCAACTACCACGTGGTAGCAGCAGTCGATACATAAAATGCATTATATCCACCAATTAGAGACATTTATCCCCGCAGCATCATAAACAAAATTCGCTAAGGATTTGGAAAACAGTAAGTGTTAACACGGCTTGACCACGACCCAGCTGAGCAGCATGACTGGTCAGCTCTATAGAGCTGCCTATTGGCAGATGAAACAAGGGATTTAATTCGCAATTAAAAAATACTGACTACTTGACAGCTTACTTGAGGGTATATAGGAAACCATCCAATCACAATAGAAGATGAGCCATACGTCTAACTACACTCTCTCACAGCTGCAGCAAGCCCGCCAAATTACGATTTTAAATTTTCTCAAGCTTTGTCCTTCAACATTTCAAATCTCAATGTATCTTCAGATTCAGACTGTTAGGATAAACGTATCTTATTGCTTATGTCAGTCCTTGCGATATATATCACTGCAGAAATCTACTTCCTCTTTGAAAACGTTCACCAATGGAGCTGCTACTACTGAATCGAGTAAGGAGTTCCAGTAGTTGACCACTCTGTGACAGAATCTAAATTCCAGACTTATTCTGTTCGAAAACTGTTTTAGCATCTTCATGTGGTGACCTCGTGAATGTATCCTAGAGGGAGAGCAAAGATTTGAAGGGTCAAATCCTTAAATCACCCTCTAATATGCCGCATACCGAAATTAAGTCGCCCCTCCCTTCTGTATGATAACGAGAAGAGGTTTAAATGCTCCATCATCATATCATAAGAGAGGTGTGAGATCCCACCAACTAGTTTGGTTTCTACCCTCTGTACGCCTCCCAGGATATGTGTATCTTTTTTAAAGCATGGACTCGCCGCTTGTATGCAGTATTCTAGATGACGTCTGACATTTGTTGCATAGAATACTTGGAACATACACACGTCTAATCGTTTGAAAGTCCTTTGAAGTGCCAATAGCATTAGAAAAGCCTTGGCTAAGGCTCCATTACAATTTACCTTTGTTTCCAAGTCATGGCTTACCATAATTCTCAAGTCCTTTTATCCCTTAACATCTGGGAGTTCTGTGTCCCCCAGGGAGTACAACGTGTAAGACCTCCGACCCAGGTGCATTACCGTACTTTTCTTGCAATTAATATCCAGACTCCAGAGGTTAGCCCATTCAGCTAGTTTATCTAGATCGTTTTGTAATACCAACCTATCATCGTTATTATTTACAGTTTTCCGTATCTTATTATCGTCGGCAAGTAATAAGGAAGATGAGGCAAGAATTTTCGGTAGTTCATTTACGTATAATTGGAATAGCAGGGGGTCAAGTAAAGTTCCTTGAGGTACCCCACTTAGTACTGTCTTCCGCCTTGACAGTACACCACTAACCCTTACCTTCTGCCTTCTATCCATCAGGTAGTCGCTAAACCACTCACATAGGCGTTGGTCTAATCCAAAACGTCTGAGTTAGCTAAGAAGACCCAAATGGGATACCTTATCAAATGCTTCAATAAGATCGATAAAGACAACTTCCAATAGATGGTTCTTATCCCTGGCCTCGAACCAATCTTCTCTAGCTAACAGTAAGTTTGTCAGGAAGGATCGTCCTGGTCGGAATCCATGCTGTCCCACCGCCAGTGAGCCATGTTTCTCCATATGAGCTAAGAGCTGATCCCTTATGAGTGTTCCTAATAATAATAATGTATTTCATATAAATTTACAAATTTACATGAAAATGCATGCCATTTTTACAGGCACGATCAAGTATGATATAATATCAAATCGTAGATTGTCTACAAGTTAATCGTATTTCAACTGTTAAATATTCGATACATATAATACACTCATTTTCTGAATTAGGCCGTATAGTTATTGAATTGTACAGTTGTCCTCTAGGTTGAGCGGGAAAATCGACTTCGTTCCGTTTTCATCCCGTGGTTGTAGGCATACGATAACCAACCGATATTGAGGTAAGTACACCTTTTACAAGGGATTGGAATCTGTTTTAGAAAAATTAAAGTGCTGAGGTGAATCATTAAATTGTAATGAGATAGGTAAGTGCAAGTATCTTTAATAAATGCATTAATAAAGGAAACACCCTAGGGTAACAACATTCATTTGCAATGTATAATGCTACAGATATATCACAAACTATCATGATATCCACTTTTGGTTTTAATACAATTATCCTCATGCCAGTTGTTTTTATTTTATACCTTTTTGTGCATTTAGTGCACAACCGTACCCTTCAGAGAGTAGGAGTATAATAAGTAATGAAGAGCTATAAGATGTTAAGTTTAATGGAGTAAAATGAGGATCAAGTAAAGACGTTGTCAGAAAATAAATGAGATAAGACATTGTGGAGTGGTATGAAAAGATCTGACGATAGACAGCAAGTTAATTTATAAGATGCCCCATAAATCTGAGCAGATCCCACATGGTCGCATCTCAACAATAGGCTGGGTGAATGGTATATATTTAAAGGTAGAAGCATGATCTGTCAAGGCGTTCATTGTTATCTTTTTCAAGATAAAGATTTAAGCCTTCATAAAAACCAGAAATATCTCGAGCCTTCAAATTTTTTAATGCTGTTCCTGCAGAATGGGGCGATTCACCTTAGTGTCCACCACCATATCTACTGATCAGCTAACTCCACCCTCCCACCTTTTTTGATGTTAGGCTCTGAGACTATGATTATTATGGTTACCGCATATATATTGCTTGGTACCAGACATGTTCGTACCCCATATTCCATCTCCCTAGCTTTCTTAATGAGTGCTTCCAATAGGTCCCCGCGTACATCTTTATGAACATATTATATATGTATGCATGCGTCCTAATGAACAGATTACTTTATAAGAAGACAAAAACCTTGAAGAATAACAAGAATAGGTTTTGTGAATAGTGGAACAAGATTCAGCGGAACAATATAGTTAGGGTTCAATATAGGTAGTATGAACTGAAGGTAAGGTCGGTTGGCAGGACCAAGTGTACTAAATTATCATGACAGTTTTATATATAGTAAACATTTGACATTGCAAAGTAACCTGTCTACATATATTATAAAAAGATATTAGCAGGACCAACAAAATTTCAGCATTTGGTTAACAATACTACAGAAAGTTAGTGAGTCTTACAGGTAGCCGTAAAGTAAATCAATCTATATACAATAAGAGTGTAATCATTGTTATAATTCGTATTATCAAAGAATACATTAGGCTCAAAAACTGAATGTTATAAGGGAAATAAGAGTGATAAACTAAGAGAACATTTGCTGCGTAAGTAATCATTTTAAGTATTTTAATGATAATCTAATTACAAGTATTGAACATGCATAATTACTAAGTATTATTAGGTTAGTCTAGGAACTAGTGTACTGTCTGTAGTTAAATATTGAAATGTCATGGTTTCACCACTCTACCAGCAGTTGAGATCATTTAGAAGGGCTAGGGTGGACATGTTAATATGTTTTTCTAGGCTCCTTTTGAAACTGTCAGGCCTTTCACAGGATCTAATCTCAGAGGGTAGCTGGTTCCAAAGTTTGCAATATTTAATGGTGAAGAAGTTAGCTCTAGTGGTGAGCTTATGGGTGTTAACCTTGAGAAGGCAGTTATGGTTGCGTAGTCCATACGATTTAGGATTAGCCCAGGTCATAGACGAGTTACTGTTACAGTGCTTTCTTATAACTTTGAATAAGAGAAATAAATTGCACTTCACTCTCCTTAACCATAAGGGTTCTAAGTCCAGTCGAATACATCTGTCAAGGTATTCTATTTGCTGATCATAACCTAATATGCGTTTCGTGAGGAATCTTTGGACACTTTCAACTTTTTTTCTGTCTGCTGATTTAAAGCTACTGTATAAGTGGGCACAGTATTCAAGTTTGGGGCGAATGCATATCTTATATATAGCTAATCTGGCTCCTGGGGTGTAAAAGTTGCGTAGCACAAAGCCTGTTAGACGTTTACAATCAGATACCACCTTATTTGTATGTTCAGTAAAGGTAAGATCTGAGTATGTTACCCCGAGATCTGTGACTGTGTTCGTGTTTGAGACAGGGTCACCGTACATGTATAGACACATGCTAGGTTTCCAACGTCCGAAGTATGTTATCCCAGATTTAGCTGGATTGAACATTAACTGCCACTTTTCACTCCAATTACATAGACTATTTAGGTCTTCTTGGATTTTACTAATACCTTTGCTATAATGCAGGTCAGACTTAAAGGCCGGCAGTTAGATAGTGACTGCCTGTTCTCCTCTCTGAAGATGAGGCTTGTAGCGGTAAATAATTCCCCAAAATTATTGACCACAGCAATCATCACTGAACATTGGATGCTGATCCTCACTGTTTAAGTCGACTTGTTTAGCTGAAGGCTTCCAGCCAAGCATCCATAACATTCGGCACTCCGTCGTGTCACGTTCGTGCACGATCACTAGCCAGCTAAGCACTCACCTCAGTCCACTATTTGGTCCCGATATATATCATGTATTTTGGACGACCAAACTCTGCTGTTTTGCTTTGCCTCTGGTACACGAGGAACGAATACTATAAAAGTTGTCGGTATAAGATCTTGTGTTAGTATACTCCGTACAATTCGCGAACGTTGATACCGTCAGCCTCCAAAGGCTTATAAAAGCATCTTAATAAGAAAATCAAACCCTAACCGTAATCAAGCATGCAATTATTCCTAATCTAACTCTTAAACGTAATTCCTTATCGAAATCTAACACTGAACCCTAATTCCTAACCTTACTATAACTATGAAATCCAATCTAACGTAAGACACGAGTCAATAAATGTGAGATTACGATAGACCTAGCACGCACTACTCTCAAAACAATCTAAAAATGGGGTACTGAGGCCCTGTAAATTACAATCTGAACAGTACAACAGACTGTCTAATGCCGAGAAATGATCCCAAATACCCACGCAGTGATGCTAGAGACCAATGCGTACAACAGGATTATTTTCGGATGCGTTAAACAATATCCCCTCTTGTAGCACAAACTGTTCAGGGAATAGTAGGCACGCTGGTACAGATACATCTCAGAGTCTCTCCGAACACAACATTGGCAACCAGGAGTTGGGAATAGTAACAAGAAAAATTACTAACTATCCTCCCAACAACTGTGGTTTTCCAAAAATTACGCTCTTGAATGCTTGTTCTTTCATTAACAAAATAACTTCACTTCGCAGCTTATTATACGTGGAATGGCCAACACTGATCCTGGTGACTGAAATCTGGTTA